GAACAGATAGGCGACTGAGCATTGACCTGCCTGGGAGGAGAGAGTGGAGCCACGGTCCGGAGGAACAGTCCATGGTGGGAACACAAAACAGTAGCTGGCTAGGGAATAAATACATACAAAACTACGAAAGAGCACAGAGGAAAAAATGGCCTAGAGACTAGAACGAACTGGCAAGTGACTGAGGAGTGAAACCGGGTAATATAGTGAGCAACCTAATCAAGTGCAGCTGGTGATAAGGGAGTGAGGAACAGGTGAACGTGATTAGTGTTAATAGGCAAGAGACAGTAGGAAAGGTGAGGGAGGCCAGAGCGGCCGAGCAAACCTGACAACTTGATGAATATAGGATAATAGAACTTAATGATGTGAATGTAAATTTGTGAGGGAATACTGTATGTTGCCTATAGATGTTTCCCCTTTTTATATTTCATTCTTATTTCTCTTTTGTGATTATGGGATTAATTGTATTTTATTCTACATTGTAATGTTTGAGTACTATAGTGTATATTAAGGCTGCATGTGTTTATGTTACGTTCAGTAGCTCTAACCAAGTGATGAGAATTTATGCAACTGTTTCATAGAGCTTGAGACAAATTAGTTGAGTATAATATATGATACCTGAACTAATAAACAAATGGTACATCTAATACCATCTAGGTGTGTCTCTGGTTATTACCTTACCAACCTATTTCCTCACCTTGACTTGTGAAGGTGTAAGGTTTCCTAGTAACTGCTGTTTCCTAACAATACTCTTTGCAAACAGGATTAAATCCACTCCTGTAACTGTATATAAGAAGAGCTCACTGTTCAGAACATTACCATCACCTCCTTGACCATCTGTGAGACTGGTTGCAGAAGCTGTGAAGACTTAACTGTAAATATAATATTATTGTATTGTTTTTTTTATATTTTCTGTGTGAGGTTTGTGAGATGGTGATTTTGATGGCATTTGTCAGCACTAACCCTTAATATTGTTATTTTTTCAACAGGTGTGATCACTGAAACCATGCTGAAGATAGCTCTTGTGCTTGGATGCCTCCTGAGCCTTGTGCTGGCTAATCCTGTAAGTGTGACAAAGACAGCGTTGCTGTTCTTGTACTGTAATATCTATTCAATGATTTACAACCTCTGTTTTTTTTGTTTGTTTGTTTGTTTTGCTGTTGTTTTTCACAGATTAACATGATGCCTAAGCGCGTTGCACGTTCAAATTCTGGCTCCTCTGAAGTGAGTTCCTTCCTTTATCCCCCAGGCTTCAAACATTCAGCACAGCTGACTGTCTATTAGAACTGGTAGAGGATCAACACTAATACTAAATTTTTCTCATTTTCCCACAGCGTCGTCCAGGTTACGATCCCAGTCGCCAGTATCCGTACCCGTACCCTCCTCAGTATCAATACCCTCCTCAGTATCCAAATTTTTCTCCATATCCAAACCCTCCTCAGTATCCAAATTTTTCTCCATATCCAAACCCTCCTCTGTATCCAAATTTTCCCCTGTTTCCATCGCTGTTCTAGCTTCCTTCGGCTCCTCAAGCAATAATAGACTGCTACTGCACCACTTACTACAATTACTACAGTTCCAGCTACCACTACTGCATCTGCTACTACGCTGAATCTGAAATTCAACCAGAGATCAACAAGTGAATGAAAACCAGAGGGGAATAACATTGATTTCTGAGAGGTTCCAATATGTGGACACTTTGTTTTCTGTAACATCTGCTAAATAAACTACAGAAATGCTAAACATGTGGACTAAAGATTGTTGTGTTTTTTGAAACCAATGTGTAAAAAAAACAATAAAATTCCAATTCCAGCATAAATAATGTATTTTTCATGTTGAAATACTTAGTTTCACATTGAGCACTGGTGGAGGACACATGGTACAGTACGATTAGAAAATAATAATAGAAATAAAAGGTACTGGAAATTCTACATTAAACCTTGTAAAGATACACTTAAATCCTAAAATTTGCTTACACCACACCAGATCTCAGTATGTCAAACAGTGAATAATGGCTGATCATGTTCTTCCAATACAGCTCACATTACAGTCAAGTACAGTAGTTGGCAAATGGTCTTATACTTGTATAGCGCCTTTCTATGCTTTTACAGCACACTCAAAGTGCTTTCACATTATTTGGGCCATTCACCCATTCGCACTCCCAAGCACTCACACACCGGTGACATCACCGGGAGTACAGTGTCTTGCTCAAGGACACCTCGACATGTTGACTGGACAAGCCAGGAATCAAACCACTAATCCTCCGGTTAGGAAAAGACCCGCTCTACCTCCTGAGCCACAGCCGCCCCCAAGTAGAGCATCACAGTGATCATGAGGGTTTTTTTTTCTTAGTGTGAATTTCTTAGATTTTTGGCCACATCGGAGCAGCACAAAAAGCTATGAAAAGAACATTGCCACAGTAACACCTAATCAAATCGAACAGCACTATCACCATTTATTTGAATTTGTGTCAACCTGATTAATGTAAGTCTAATATGAACTCTCTTTAAGCTGCATTTTAATCCCCACCAACCCCTCACAGAACTGTATAGATCTTGTGTTTCTATTGTAAATGCTCTTTTGTGGGTAGTTGCTAACATTGTCTATCTGTCTGTGGCTCACTTCTTCCTAGTGAGAAAGAACATTTCAGATAACCAGAAACACATTCTTCATGTGGGACAAATAGCATCACATTCGTCATGCCTGTGTACTGGGCTTTCAGTTATGTCGAATATTATCCACAGCATCAATTGCAATTGAATTCTTACTAGGAAAAAAAAACACATTTAAGATATTCATAACCCACTTGTCATTATTTTAATTTCAGATATCCAAATTCTGAATATCCAAAATACACTGTGACCAGCAAAAATGTCAGTACAAAGGTCCACAGTATGTATTATATATAGTATTGTATGACTAGTAAAAATGTAATTTCAGATATCTTTAATTAAAACAGTGACTGGCATTATTACAGTTGCTGATATCCACAAATATACTGTAATATCATTTTTTCATTTTGGGGAGGATATCACAACTGAACTCTAGACATCTAGTATGAACAGCTCGCTGTTCAGAAAAGATTTTTGTTTTTTACATCCAGAGCAAGCAAACATACAGTAATGCTTTCAGTTACTTCATATGATTGATTATTAAGAAATGTCTGGACAATTGTTTGTTTGTCTGGTTTTAATGATATTGTTACATTGCAAAACATATCAGGTACTCTTGTGTCATCCGTGGTTGGCTGATAAACACAAATACGCCAGACTGAACGCTGGTTCTGCACTATTGGCAAATATTGCCACACTGTTTGTGTACAGCAACTGACAAAACATTCAGTAAATAAAGACAAATTTTACATGTGGTAACAGGATGAACCCGATCAAGAGGAGGATTGTTGCATTTAGCTGCAGCAGTGATCGTTATATGACAAAATGTTTTACTAACTTTTAGAGGTTAAATTAAGAAACACTCAAAATGAGAATGTCATTAGGACACAATTACTGTTTATTTACTTTAATTGCTATTTTAACAACCTGGAAGAAATAGGGATGAAATTAAAATATATTAGAAATAAGTGGTGTTTCTCTGGTGATGCATTTTCACTTCAGTTTCACACCAGAGACAAAACACCACAATTAGAATTTTTATGCTTTGATAAAAATAGTGGAGGTTTCCTGACGACAAGACACGAGTTTTCTCCGGCCTGATGAGCAGTGGGAGGCTGCACAGTGTTACCTGAGTCATTTCCTTGTAGAAGGACACATTTTATATCACCAGCAGCAAAGATAGTTCCTTTGAATAAATTGAAAAAAAGGCCTGCAATGTAATCACAATGGGAGCAGGAGGGCACTGGATGGAAATTTAAAACTTCATATTTTAAAAACTATCAATACTAAAATCTTTTTTTTGGCGCCAGCCTCATAATTTAATACAGATGTGAGAGTGATTTCAACACATTCTGTCATGTTTCAAGTCACTTTTGACTTTTTAACAACATTACAACCACAATCTTTTTCTAATATTAATCATCAGTCATGATAATCGAGCTTTTCTTGCGAGCAAATACCGCATGATCATTTGAAGGACTCTTAGAAGAAATATAACAGGAGGTCCTTTAGGGTTTTTCACAGATGCCGTGTATAAACACTTTTTCAAATTGGCAGACAGATTAATTCAAAAACCTTCCCTCTTTACACTGATACAGGACACACCCTAATTCAGGCACTGTCAGTTTGCTCTAAACATTGAAGTAGTATATAAATATAATTTCTGAGAGACAGGATTGACCGTGAAGCATGAAATTGTTTGACTCCTACATGAGCTATAAGTTGTTTGTTTTATACATCTGAGTTTAAAAACCTGTGCAAATGATGTCTGCCCCTCATTAGGAAATTAAAACTTTTTAAATCACTACTGTAAGTAGTCAGAGGAAAAATATCTGGATGACACAGGTTGTACCATTTAATGACTGCTGTAGAGGAAATGAATGAGGTTTGCCACAAGTAAATAAGATGATTACAGTATTTGGAAAGGATTGAGCAAGTGTTGTTTTGCAGGTGGAACTTTAGTTCCAGGTGAATGATACAGTATTACTGTTTCGCAAGTGTGGGAATCATAAACAGTACATCTATCTTTTATAACTGACAGCAAGTATTTGAAATTCCCTTCTAAAAATAATTGTGTACAGCATGTTAATAATAAAATCAAATCCTGTATTCTTTAAACAAAGGGAAGTGTAGTGTGTGTATGTCTGTGTGAGATCAGCTGTTAACTTAGCTCAGAATGTATCAGAAACTATTATATCTATCAGGATTACAAGCAGGATGTGGATACACAGTCTAGTTGGGTAATGAAACTGTGTTCACGCCTATTTTGGTTTTGTCTCCTGAGGCTTCCGTGAGCCTGACCATGTCTGAGGTGAAGTGTGAGAGCAATGTGGACACGCAGAGGCTGTTTAAAAGCTATTGACACGCCTTAAAGGGACCAGCTTAAAGTTAGAATGAGACTACACAAGTCTAATATTTGATTTATTAGCAGGTTGTTTACACTGTACAGCGTACCACAGGTACTTCTAACAGTCCATTTGAGCTGCAGTTTGAAGCCAAGATGAAGCTTTTTCTTCTGGTGGTTTTCTACTTGGTCAATTCCTCTGTTGCTGTAAGTACATATAAAAACATTACATGCTCTTTTCTTACTATGATTTGTGAGGTTGCTAATACAAAAAAAGTATTATAATAAATGTTTTTTTGTAGAATTGTCATCATCATAGAAGTTATTCACACGAGGTAAGAATGATTTCTCATCACTATAGCAGTGAGTCTGACAGTAATGAGGTAAGAATAAAAATGACAGTTCATCGGTGATGAGTGTATTGCAAAACAACCTTGCTTTTTATTAATGTTTTTTCTAAATATTTCACTGTGTTTTTTTGTCTTGCCGAAGAGACGCTATCCTTATCGATGGGTTTGGCCGCAGCCACCTTGCTGGCCTTACCGATGCTTTTGGCTGCAGCTGCCTCGCTGGCCTGTGGTTCCACTGCCACCACCTCCTGTGCCACCACCTCCTGTGCCACCACCTCCTGTCCCACCACCTCCTGTCCCACCAAATCCACCCACAATCCCGAAGCAAACCCCAGCCCCTGCCACTCCGCACCCACGAGGAGACAACAGATGAACTGTGGTGATCTACACAACAGCTGACTGACTTATTGTACTTTCATCCTCCAGTGTTGTACTGTCCTTGTGTGTTTTTGATGTTTGTGTTTTTTTTTTAAGGATTTGAAATTCATGACCACATTATTATAGATTTTTTACAAAAGTTTAAATGTATTTGCATGTTTTCACATTTCACTATGCATTTCTCTGTAAACTACTTTCATGTTTATCACTTTTCATATCATATAATGCCTCAGTCCATAGAAAAACCTAAAGAATGTAGTGGGATAATGTGATTTAAAACATAGAAAATAGAGAGGGAGGCATTTTGTCAAGCTGTAATTATGAGTGTTGTTGGAGGCTGGTCTAGACGCCTATGGGAGGATCCTCACGTCACGCCTCTGTAATTCCACTCAGTGCGCACACACATCACAATCGCTGGATCAACACAACTTAAGGAAGGGATGAGTGTTGAACCTCTAATAGCTGATTCTGCTTCATCAGTGAAGTCTGTCTGTTTGCACTTTTTTTATCATGACTCCTAAAATCTTTTGACCAGTATCCCCCCCACTACTACACTGCAGCTCAACTCTCTGAGGCAAATACTGTATGTACCACTGCACTAACATTCTCACAAATATACACCTATATCTTTATATACAACAAAATCACAATTCTTTATGTTTTATACTTGAGCCCAGTCACTGGGTTTTGCACAGCTAGTCTTATTTCCTTTTTTTTCTTGTGTCAGTGTCACTTTAGCTTGTTTAATGTAAACCAGCCATACAACATGCAGAGGCTGGTATAAACCAATGCCTTTGAATCCTGAACTGGTTAATATATTCTGCATGTTTTATAATTTGTATTTGGTGGTTTTGAGGGTTCTGAAAATTAAATTTTACTTTGACACAAGAGCTTAGTGATAAAATATACTTTTATCATGCATCATGGTGGCCTCTGTCTATTTGTAGACACTGGATGACCAGTATGTGGCAGAAATGGAATGTGTTGACTGCCTTGTTACAAATAATCTAAAA